ATCTTTCGGCTGCGCTTCTGCAGAGTGCAGGGGACTGGACTAGATGACCTGCAAGGTCCCTTCCAACTGTAACATTCTATGATTCTATGATCCTATGATCCATAGACTTGACCAGAAATAGAAGAATTGGGTTAGTACTGTGGCAGTTGTCTTTGGCATGGAGGCTGGAATATATTTGGGAGGACTCTGAGGGGCAGATTATACACAACATATATTCAAGCCAGATCCTGAAGACCTGGGCTTTCCAACCTCCTGGTGGGGGCTGGAGATCTCCAGACTACAGAGATCGGTTCTATAATATAAAGGTAAAGGTTTCCCTTGCTCGAAAGCCAGTCGCGTCCGACTCTAGGGTTGCGGTGCTCATCTCCGTTTCAAAGCTGAAGAGCCAGCGCTGTCCGAAGACGTTTCCGTGGTCATGTGGCCGGCATGACTAAACACCAAGGCGCACGGAACGCTGTTACCTTCCCACCGAAGCGGTCCCTATTTATCTACTTGCAATTTCTTGCTTTCGAACAGCTAGGTTGGCAGGAGCTGGAACTAGAGACGGGAGCTCACTCCGTCATGCGGCAACCTGGGTCTCGAACTGCTGAGCTACCGACCTTCCACAGCCTGCAGTTCAGCGTCTTAACCACTTGAGCCACCACAGCTCCATATGTTCCTGACAATTAGCATGCAGTAATCCGAGTGCTAGGGTTGCCAACTCCAGGAGGGGAAATTCCTGGAGAACTGGGAATACAGCCGAGGAGGGCAAGGCTTGGAGAGTGGAGGGACCTCAGCAAGGCATACTGCCATACAGGGGTCATTTCGTAGAAAAAGAGGTGCAGGAGCTCATTAGCATAACCCATTAGCATGACTTATTTGCATATGCCACACCCCCTGACATCACCGGAAGTGTGTCAGAAGGCGACACCCACTGTTAAGGTCCACTGGACTGTTTTGGATTGCTAGCTATCGGGGGGGGGGGGGACGCGCAGATCTGCCCTCACAGAGGAGGGAGAGCTTGTACCTGAATAAAACTTGGTCTTAAAGGTGCCACTGGACTGTTTTGGGCTGGGGGGGGGGGCTCTGCAACTTACCTGGCTGCTTCTTGCTCCGACTGAGGGCTGCTGGGGGCAGGGGGTGGGGCTTGTTGCATGTGCCCTCCCCCTGGGCTCTTTACTGCCGGAGCTCCGCTCCTGTGCGCTCCTGCAGGGAATGACCCCTGCTGCCGTACAAACCACCTCCCAAAGCAGCCATGTTCTCCAGGGGCTCTGTTCTCTGTCGTCGTGAGATGAGTTGTAATTCTGGGAGATCTCCGGGCCCCACCTGGAGGCTGGCAGCTAGGATTAGGCTGAAAAAGCGTGGCCCAGCAAGCTTCCATGATGTGGGGGGGATTTGAAACTGGGTCTCGCAGCTCTGATGTCTGACAGTCTAACCACTATGCCATAAATCTCTCCGAAGAGCAAGACAGACACAAAGCACAAATAGTGGTTTGCCAAGGACAAGCTTTAGAAAATGGGAAATGGATGACTTAGAATTCATTAGCAAATTTGAGATGATGTACTCCTTCCCACAGGACTTAATAGAGACCTGGGGTTCCTAACTCCCTATAGAACAGTAGCACCTTAAAGACCAACAAGATTTCCATTGAATAAGCTTTCAATAGTGCAAGCTCCCTAGAGAGCTCAGGATCTGATCCCCTGGAAATCTAGTTGGTCCTGCTGCCGTCTTCGGAGTCAGACTTTTGGTCGATCAAGGTCAGTTCTGTACTCTGACTGGGAGCAGCCCTCCGGGGTCTCAGGCAGAGGTCTTTCACATCACCTCCTGACTGGCCCTTTTAACTGGAGAGGCCGGGGAATTAACTTGGGACCTCCTGCATGCCAGGCAGAGGCTCTGCCACTGAGCCACAGCCCCTGAGCTAAAGTTCTACTGGACTTGAATCTAGCTCTTCTCCCTGCAGACCAACGCAGCTGGCCTCATGAAACTAACTCCATGTAGGTCAAAACAATGGTATTCCCAGTAGTCATGTATGGCTGCGAGAGTTGGACTATAAGGAAGGCCGAGCGCAGAAGAATAGATGCTTTTGAACTATGGTGCTGGAGAAGACTCTTGAGAGTCCCTTGGACTGCAAGGAGATCAAATCAGTCAATCCTAAAAGAAATCAACCCTGACTGTTCCCTGGAAGGCCAGATAATGAAACTGAAGCTCAAATACTTTGGCCACCCAATGAGAAGGGAGCACTCACTGGAGAAGAAGACCCTGATGCTGGGAAAGACTGATGGTCAAAGAAGACGGGGACGGCAAAGGATGAGATGGTTAGACAGTGTCATCGATGCAACGAACATGAAATTGAGCCAATTTCAGAGGACGGCTGTCATGCCAGAGATACTGACTTGCAGGATCATCTCAGAGAAAGGACTGTAATTTTATTTAGAATCAGTATGTCTATAATCTAAGTAAATGGGAAACAGCTGGTTAAGGCAGCAATTCCTAATTAGTCTAGGACGGGGATTGGGGAATCAAGGAATAAAGATTCAGTCCTGGAGGCAGAATTATTCATGATGAAGGAAGACTCATGAACTTGCCTGAATACACACGTCTACCTGTTCCAAGCAGCGACAGCTTGACGAATGCCAGGAATGCTGCACGTAGCCTTGAAGATGGTAGTTGCACAGTGCAAGGCAGGAGTGCCACAGGACAGAGGGAGCTTCCGTCCCTGGCATGGTTTCCCCCAACCTTACTCCATAACAGGTGGCCTGCGTCGGTCACGGGTTTCTATCAGAGCTGTTTTGCTCTGAACTGCGGTCCTCAGGAGGTTGGCAGGACACGGTGCAAGTCCGGGTTCCAGGGGGTGGAGAGGCGTCTGTGCGGGCCCAGATCACCCCCCCCACCTGCAGCTTGGAAGCAGGGACCGGCAAGTCGATAGCTGGGCAGGTTCCGGGGGGTCACATAATAATAAGGCCTGAACGCTCACAATTTCAATGCCAGCAGCTCACAAAGTAGAATTTTGCTCCAGAGATACTGACTTGCAGGATCATCTCAGATAAAGAACTGTAAGTTTAGTCAGAATCAGTACGTCTATAATCTAAGTAAGGCAGCAATCCCTAATTAGTCTAGGACGGGGATTGGGGAATCAAGGAATAAAGATTCATTCCTAGAGGCAGAATTATTCATGATGAAGGAAGACTCATGAACTTGTCTGAATACACACGTCTACCCGTTCCAAGCAGCGACAGCTTGACGAATGCCGGGAATGCCGCACGTGGCCTTGAAGAAGCCAAGAGCCGTGGCAAGAATCTTCTTGAACTGTTCACCGT